GAAAGAGAGTTGTAGTGATTTGCTGTGAATATGTTGTGCAAACTATTTGACTGGATGCGTTGTAGTGGAAGGCTTTGAATTCGTATCAACTCATGGCAAGTATGATAAATATAAGTCCTTATAATATCATGCTTCATGTACACGAATTCGTTAATAATGTTGGTTTCTTCTTTACAATGCACAATGATTCTGAACAATTTTTGAGTACTCCCTTTTTGCCACTGACTCTTTTGCAATAAATAGTTTTCAAAGAATTAGATTACATACAACACACACATAAATTACAGTATCCTTAAACTATCATCAAAATATACTGTTAAGGGTTTCTCAGTGAAATAAACTGTAGATTCCTTGGTCACTAGAGCGTGCACTAATATGCTTTGATTGCTAAAGTCATGAGTAACAAATATTAATGAACTTTCAATGTAACCCTCTAAAGTGTGCTTTCTGGTCTAAAAGTGACCTCAAAATATATAGACATATTTATTACAGCGAGAAATGTATTGTGAATATTTGAAGATGGTAGTAAATGCAAATCGTAGGCTAGAAATACAAGTATGTTTCGTGTATTGATTGGTCAGGGGAGTACAATCTATTTCATGTTGTCCAGTCCTGAGTGCTGACGGAATTCTATCAATCATTTTTGCAATGTGGCGACCAACCTGGGAAGCTCAGCATCTCGGTGCACATAAGTAGATTTTGGTTGGTTGGAAGTAATCGACAGGAAGCCCTGGACCTAGGTCTCTTGCTATTTGGTGCTCATCAGCAAGGCGCATCTGCAACCTCGACGGAAATGATGACCTGCATGAGATTCGAACCTGCGTCACCTAGTGTTGTAGTCAGCGACTTTACCACTGAGCTATTCCGGTCGTGACCGACCCCCTGTATGACTGGCTTACATGTACTGATTGGTCACGGGAGTGCAACAAATTTCATTTAGCTGACGAGTGCCAAAAAGCACGAAACCTAGGTCCACGACTTCCTGCCGATTGCCTCTACCCAACTAATATCTAGAAATATATTTCAGCTACCTAATATTACGGTTTATCTAAAACTATTTTATGTTTCAAATTTATTTGGCTGGATGTGATGCATAGGTTTTCAGTCACATAAAAACTGACTTCACGTTTTCATGAATAAATGCACAGAGGTAAGGTTACGCAAAAACGGTATTTCAAAAAATGAACAGACGTGTTATGCCATAATAGTTAGATTGCGGCAAATCTTTTAAAATTTTAAGCTATTCTGATCATGGAAAACAAAATTAAGCAAATGTCACATTGAAAAAAGCATGCATCAAAGTAAACATATGTTGTCTGTGTTCAAATTGCAATACTGTAAATGGCTATTTTGATGTAATTATTTTTATCTTTGTCCTTATGTCGGATATCTTTCATCTTGGAATCTAAACAGCCAAAAACTGCATAGAAACATAAATCAAAATTACAGAAAATATATCAGATAGATGCACATCGGGAAAATACTATCTGATACATAATATTTGCGTATAAAAACACAAAATATACAGTAAAGAAACAACAGTGGTAAGCGCTTCAAAAAGTTTTCTACCTGTATTTTATCTTAGGTGAACAAAATCAATGTAATTCGACAATCAGAAGATAATTAACTTAAGCAAGAGGATACAATTATTCACCACTACATATTTACAAGTACACTATTTAAAAAACCCATATAAATTCAGCACACCAAATAATGCAGTGACTGAAAGTTCATCGAGTAATTATTTATCCAGAAGTCCTCATTGTATTCGTGCATTCAGGACAGATCACTTGGTGGAAAAGCTGACCATCAGCCTATGAACAAATATAAAAGCAATAATAGCCTATCACATTTGTATATTTTCATGTGAACGTTGATTTAAAGTCTTACAGAGTAAAAAGAGAATGTGAATTAGTAGAATTCCAAGCATCGTAATGAGGTGTTACAAGTATCAAATCGTGTTTCTCATCAAGATTTAAGGTGACTCATGTCGCATTTTATTGAGAGATTGAAAGTATGTTAGACATGCTAACTTATAACCTAAAGGTTAAACTCAACACGGAGTATTTAAAACATGTGAGGACCAGCAAGGAGAAGCTTTGAACCGAAATATACATAGGAATTAATTGTAAAACCATTCTGCAAGCCCCGAGGAAAGCTCATTGCGTAGTAGTTAATGATTGTCTGTGGTTGCTCAGATCTTGGTGTGTAGATCAGGGTACAAATTTATAAGTACTTGGCCTAGCAGGTGACAGTTTCACTTTATCCCACAAACGAAAAACATGTCAGGGCATGCATCACGTGGAACTTTGAATGACGACGATTGGAGAGGTCGATTTGGAGCTGATTTAATCACGCTTTTAAACACCAACCAAAGGTTTCAAACAATAGCTTTTCAAAATGCAAAAGATCTAGTAAAGTTTTGTGAAATGCCAGTGAATTGGGATTGTTATTTGTGAAGAACGATGTTTCTGGCTCATCGAAACTACTCTGAAATATATATTATGCTAGTTAAAAAAGGTAACTCAGAAAAATAGTGTTGTAGTATATATAGGAAGATTCATCAGTTATACCTGTAAAAAAGCAACATATGGCTAGACGACAAAAAAGCTTTATTTTCAGGATTTTGTTCAGAAGAGATAATGTGTATGCCAATATATCCTTGTATACGCTCGTTTAAAAACCTTAGACTTCAAATTTAGTATTCTTTTGGGATCTCAGAGACAGAAAAAGATCATATTGAACGGGCGCATTGTAAAATCGACATACCACAAGATAGTTGGTGTGTTATATATTCGCAGTTAGTATTAACATTTCGAGACTGTTTCGAGCATTTCTTATCATTACTTTTTGTATAGCTGTCCGGTCAAAAGATTACACTTGTATTTTATGTTATTTAGCTTTTAGTGAGGTATAAACAGCTTTGGAAGGAACTCAAAATAAGACATTATTTAGCCTGACAGTATGAACATAAATGTAGGTAAGCATTAAATTTAAACAAGTTTGGAATGTTTGATCACTGAAGCACGAAGACAGAATTTAGATAGTGCAATAGAAGAGGAAGTCTATCTGAACAATGTGATGTATTTGCGCAATATATTTCGAACAGTTCGGTCACATATTTACTTTTTAAGTCAATTTATATTAAACCAAGGAGTGGGAGGACAATTATAACAGTTAAGATAATAGTGGATTAAAATTAAGAAAGATGAAATCAGACAGGACATAGAGTGACATAGTTGATTCTAATCTTGGTAAGAAAACAAAGTGTACCAGGGTAGGTGCAGTGTTAGAACAAACTGCTTTCTTACACATAAATGTGGTTTCGATGTGTATCTGGCTATTGCTTCCACAGATCTTAGTATACGTTTCCGACTGTTTCTATAAAAAAACTTTTAAAGTCATTTGAACATTACCTATATGACCTATTTCCATAACATTTTCAGCTATAGATCGAGAGGATCGTCTCACACCGGCCTTTATCATGGTTTCATACTCCATTTGTTTTTGAAGCCATTTAGGTACATGTTCTTCCACCCTCAACTGTATTGCTCGATTACTCCCACCTATAAGTGAAACTACACATACATATGTCAATTGGTAAACACACGTTTTTGGTGAAGCATATATTGTTTCCCCAATGATAAGATTGGCTGGGTATTATGTTTTTTAATGGCTGATGTTAACCTACGTCTCAAAATTATGCTGTTCAAGCCCTGACTGAATGGTAGAGTGTTGTAGGCGCTATTCTTAAGAAATGGTGTGTAGAGTTGGCTTCGATGTTGCCTGACCTCTACAATAATGTACAAACTTCAGGGGATATCCATTTTCAATAAGTGTTTTGAATAGTAGTTTGATATCTTCATCCATCATATCTGACGTACTTATACGATAGGTCCTAATAAGCAAAGAATTTACTACATCTCGCTTGTATTGGATTGAGTCGGACAAAAACTGTGTAAATTCAAGTATTGTCCTGTCCATGTAGGCTTTCTGATAGCCGATCCTCTTATCGGACAAAGACAGAAACATTGAATATTACTGTCTTTCACGCGAAAGCTCGGGAAATTTGATTCTTACTAAAATAGTTTTTATTATGTGAAGTTTAATCATTGAGGTTTGATTCTGGCCGTAAGGGAAATAGTATTTGAATCTATGTTAACCTTTGGCGTCCTCCACGAATAGTTCGAGCAGAAGAGTTGGCTTCTTCATCCATTTTCTTCGTACGTTTTGTGAGTTTGAAGCCGTAACATTTTCGTGCCAATTAGTATTACAGTAATTTCACTGATAACAAGATTTAAATTACCCCATGCCTAGTGATCACTGGAAATATTAAACCACAAAAAAAGAAATTAAAATCAGCTAAACCTCCCCAAACTTGAAATCTGTTTATAGTGTGCCTAATCAAACTTTACCTGTGGGGATATAAATAAGCGCATGACCTAATAGCCCTAATAAACTTAACAGTACAAGGTAGTCGATGAATTACATCAGACAATAAAGCATGAAACTATCATGACGGTAGAATCTACAAACTATCTGATCAAAAATTTAAATCTTCCCACTAAGTTACCTATTCTGCCACTATGCATGCAAATTTATTCAATCCAAATCTTTAGAAAAATAGCATGTTATTACAATACAAGGATATCACAAACTGTATGCATGCTGTACAATAAGCTAGGTTTGCGTACCACAACATTATTTTGAAGATATTATAATTGACACAAATAATAAACAACTTACGGAGGCTCCGCAACTACAAGCTGTAATCAGCGTAGCATGCTCGAAATCTAAGTATAGCTGACATAACAGATTTTAATGACTCCGTTTCGTTGTAGCACTTACCTAGAACTCTTAGTATTTCTCAATTCACTCAACGTTTGCTTATTGGCTGAGGTAAAATGAAACCAGAAGCAAGGTAGCTGTTACATCTGTGAAGCTAATTAAATTATTAAAGGTTTCTTTAGCTAACAGACTGTTATCAATAGATGCTATAAATGTGTACATGTTTGGTTAAATGCACTTATGGTGGTGAATTATTGAGTCTCTATGCCTATAATTACAGATTGGCTGACGCAGAAAGCTTTCCATTAACACAGGTATATTTATTTCTAATATGCAACTGATAATGATCCTATTTCTTCATATACAGTTTAGTAATTACAAACTGAACTATAGAATTAAATTTAACCGGCTTTATAGGCTGAAAGATCATTTGATTTATTAAAATATACAATGCATGGTAAAATATCTAATCCGTCAACTTCCATCCAAGGGTGAGATGTTTGTCTTAGAAGACAAAGTGTGAAACAGGTTTTCTAGACAGTTAGCAAAAACCTGAATGTAATACAATGACAACAACTTATATTATATGAAGGGAACTACAGATTGGAAAACATCATATAACGCTTGAAAACTGGAATATCTTTTGCTTAGACTAGGAGTTTACGAGGCTGAAGACTTCCTAGTATTGTAGGTAGGGCGAAATATATACGGTAAGTTCACATCTTGTTAATTATGGTGATTTGATTTGTTGTGGCTGGCAGAGAAATACAAGACGAGCGCTTCATCTTATTTGGGACTCGTCAGTTGGAAACATCACTCACTGGGGTGCAAGTACATACAGCTGATGAGTCCCAAATGGGATGAAACACGCGTCCCGGATTTCTCTGCTAGCCAAAACCAACCAAATACCATAAATAACATCCAGACAATATCCAGGCATCCACACATGGACCCTGTATGCCAACAGAAGTCCAACGATTCGATCCAATAAAACAACGGAGAATTAAAAGTATATCAAAAAACAGTGATAAGTTCACATCGTCACACCAAATCATTTCAGACCTAGCAACCATATCTAAAGTCTACAAAGATACTATACCAGACATAGTATGTAAGCATATGGCATTATGAAAAATTCCAAATTTCTCAGTTTAGTTTGTGGAGTCTTTGAAGATTATATCAGTCTGTCAACCGAGTTTATGAATACAAGTCATCAGAATTTTGAAATTCTACATCAGGTTTTATTGAAATAAACAAATATATACCTTAATTTTTCGTCCATTTCGCCTCTTGTACCTTTCTGCTTAAAGTTCTGGTTCACAAGGGTTTCTACTACAAAAGAACAACTATACTTTCACTCGAGCTTCTACGCCAGCATCTTCTACAAACTAGTGTAAGATACAAGCCACCTATTGACTGTTCAGTATGATGGATATTGGTGGAAAGAAAGGAAAGACCCATGGTACAACTGATAATCACCTACACCCATCGTAGTATTCAAAAATATCAACAGACGGTAGAAAGCCAAAAGAGAAAGATTCAGAGGATATTGGCAACAAAACACTTTACAACGTTTGCAACTGTGATTGAAAAATCAGGCAGATGATACAACAGACAAAGAAACACTATTCAAAATAACTTGTCAGGATTTCAAAACCACGATCATTAGAATGGGAAGAAACATCTCACTGTGTAATTAACATGTCCAAATAATCTCTGACCAAAACTAAGGAACTTATCCAGAAAGGATTAAATTACAGTAAGGAATACACCTCAGGACCGGAATTCTTCGCATCTCGAGGGTCATCACTGAAGACTTCAGAACTAAACTCTGAGACATAACAAGACATACGACAAGTAATCTGATTTCTGACGAAGAGGAATCGAGACCATACTCAAATAAATAAAGAAGAATAGAAAGCTTTTAAGAAACCGAGCAATAAAAAGTTCTACCTTTCTTTGACAGGCGAAAAATATACAAATCAAACATCCCACCACGACCCGTTTTTTCAATCTGAGGAACCCAAGCATACAGTTATTAAAAAGAACTCTTAAGGAAACCAGCATGTCTGATAGTTTCATGCAACCACTCTATCAAATCTTCAAAACAATTTCTGGAGAAAACCAACCATATTCTTTTTGACATTCACGAACTGATTGTGCTTTTCAACGCTATACCTTTAAAAAATTCGACTGAATGGGAATTGGCTAAAGATACAATGATTCTCCTCCTCAACAGTGATAAACACCGCTCGGGACACATGCAACTCCAATGTTCAAGTTCGATGGAATTAACTGATTTACGCCTTACAACATATTTGCAACTCGACGCAAACACTACAGAGAGACAAAAGAAATATCAGTAGATTCGCCTATATCACGATCAACTTCAGACACCGTAAAGTGAGATTTAAAACTATGGGCACAGATTTGACTGAGAAAATCTGGAGACTCTAGATGCAGGAAGTACAAAGAGTTGCAGAGAATTTTTAGGAGCTTGATATTCGGGTCGGTCAGCAACGAAATATAGTGACACTGACCTGACCTTTCAACCAGTAGGAGTCAACATGAAGGATAAAGTCCATGTCAGAAGGATAGGTGATCTAAATAAGACCTTGGAAGAAACAAACAATTACACACAAGGCCAGCAGAACAAGCTACAAAATAAATTGCAGAGAAAATCTGATAAGTAACTTCTTTCTGACGTTTTTGCTGATAATGTTGTCTAGAATGACAATGAAAGCTGCACGATTGAATCATTCAACTTAGCGAACACAACACCATCAAAAAGAATTTGCTCGCTCGACAACATGTTTGGGTCAATTAACAGTGATTATGTTTTACAGTAGATAATGAATAACAATGATATTGTTTAAATGCCTAATGACCGTAGGGTTATGACAGTTGTTTGCTATTACTGCGTTGGCTGATTTGATTGCTTCTAACATGTTTTATTTCACTCAGTATACTGGAGATGGCATGGTTGGATCTTCTCATGTAGTTACTCGTACACAAAGTTTGATACGTTTTCTTCCTGCTTCGAAAGGACAGAAAAAGAGAAAGGTGCAAACGTACAAGGTACTTATAATGGGATTCAGTATTTGTGGCCAACAGTTCGCAAGAGCTAAGATGCCTTTCAAAAGCCCAGTTTGAAAGTACCGTCAGTGGTGTACTACTAGCTCTACTAAGAGCCTTTAAAGTCCTATGCAATATAATACTGTTTTTTCTCCGGTGTACAGAAGAAAACAGAGAAATGAATAAATAAAGCATCCAATACGCAGAAACTCACGAAACGTGAGGGCATAGGTTGATTTATGCGAATAAGTCACAGTTCCCTCACAAAAAGATGAGGTTTCCTTGAAATTAGGAGGAGTAGGAAGGTACAAAGAAGAGTCGGAAGAAGAGTTTGGGTTTAGATAAACCAAACTTGATACATTCTTCAAAACGAACTCATCAACAAAATAAGAGTCAGGGAGCTTTTAATTCCCACAAGTCTTGTTGACGTTGTATGCCTAAAGTAACCACCTGATATTCAGAAGGATTTTGAGCGACGCCGCTCGAGCAAGACCAGTAACCAATTTCAGGTAGAAAATTATTAAAATATGAACAGAACGAAGAGCAAAGGACTAACATGGATACAATGAGGCCTTTCGCATACTGAAGAAAATCATCTTAGTTGTGGCAAGACAGTCATGCGAGAATAAAAAGAAAGTAAAAAGAGGAAAAACAGCACCCTAAGGTACAGTAGCCTCGCTAAATACAGAGACAAAGCACTTCCTTTAATAAAAAGAGTACTGCTTTCTAAGATAGTTGAGAAGACTTATGGTTGAGTTGGAGAAATTGCCCCAGATATCAGTATGTATGTGAACTTATAGTACGAAATTTAACATCCTTAAATTTTGGACTATTTTACAGTTTACTGAAACCAAATGGTGACTTAAAATTTAAAATCACCATTGATGACATCAATAAATAGCAATTCATGCATCTACATAACCTATTCTCATGAATCTGTAAATGAATGCGTGAAGATACTAGAAAATATATATATATATATATATATATATATACCAAGTTACATGAAGAAAAGTATTCGCAAATTTGAAAATCGTTATCGTCAGGATTATAAATTTTGACATTTTTTCACACGCATTTTTTTTATACCTTACCTCGACATACTATGAAGAACATTTTGAATTAAAGCGTTTATAAAAAAGAGTTTATTGCATAAATTTTATAAAAGTGTTTACATTCTAGTGAATCAATAGTAGGTACTTTTCGCTTTGTTGACTGCAATTTTTCTTTGTTTTAAAAGATTAGCAAAATCTACACTAAAGTACTTTTCACTTATGTAAAGTAAAAGCAAACCTTTACGTGATGACAAGAATTTGTTTCATTTTGTGGAATCTGAATCTTTAACACTAACTTTCCAGTCTGATAGACCATCTATAAAGTTGTTGATTGAAATGAAATGTAAAATAAGTTGGTTGAGTCCAGTAAAACTATTAATAATCGAAATATCTTCATGCCAATATATCAATCAGTTTATATGACAGCAGAAAGATTATCAGTGTTTAAGAAATTATCAAATACATGTTAAACTTACAAATTTTCAATCTGATATCAAATAATCTTTAATAAATATTGAAAAAAAGTAACGAGAATTGTTTGGAGTGCTTAAAGTATAAATAACAGCAGTAATGGAATATGGAGTTCAATAGCAGAATATAAAATTCAGCTGTGAATAATTAGGATTCGGTGGATGTAGTGCGAAGTAAAACATTTGCTAGAAATCACTTATAAATATTCATGATTCTGAATTAGTTAAACCTAATTAATGATAGAAATGCTATTATTGTTCAAGAGGTATATTAAGAATGGTAAGAGGTGAGCTGGAATAGAAAGCACCAAAAAACAAGAGATCAAAGAGGTGATATATCATACTAGACATTTCTGCACAGAGCTGACAGAATCAAGCAAAATGCTTTGGTAAACAACAAAGAGAATATCACATTAAGATTCGATGTATTCACTGTAATTTATCATCTTTTGTTTAGTAAGATGCATGGAATATAAAGTTAATAGGTGAGATATCTGAATGAAAATTTTTAACGCATATCTAACAAATCACTGCGCAGCTGTCAGATGTTCACTACAAGAATGCAAAATTTGATAGTGATTAGGCATTTTGAACAAAGAAGCTGTGATATATTAGTGCATATTTCAGCAGCTTTAAAATAAATACTTCTAATGCTTTTCCCTAAAAGTATGATTCTAGCTTCTTGAGGGACTAAGCATAGTGTTCGCCATTCTGTTCGTGTGAATATATTTTCAACACCAGTGTCTGAGCAGGCATAGTAAATAGAAGTAAATTATGTCGCTAAAATCAGTTAAATGCTGAATTACTTACTGTACTTCTTGGGCTAAAATATTGTAGACCGAGTATGAGGTAAATCAGACTTCTGTAACAGATTCAGCAGCCATGGGTCATATCTGTGAAATATTTCTTAATAGTGTGGATTCTTTCGGAGTGTTTTGCCATGAAAATAGTACTTAAACGCCCTAATTTAACAGATTTATAGATTGTCATCAATACATTAACCCCTAAATATTATACTGGAATATGTTTATTGACTTTTGTAACCCACCATAATAGGAGAAAATTATTTCTTGACTATCAGCCGTTGACTCAGTTTGGCCAGGAATTATCTATAAAATCATGAACTCTTTAATTTATGAATTGATGGATTCTCTCTGTCCTAAACACAAGTATCTCAATCTAAGATGCATCTTGAAAGTGAAAACTTTTTCTCGTCACAATAAACTGCATTTAAATCGTTGAAGGTGTCTTGAAGTTATTGTGAGTAAATGAACTCAAAACAGCATTCATAAATTGGAACTCAAAAAGAAAGACAATCCAATGATTCTCAAGGCACCGGTTAAAAGCATTATAAACGCAGATTTTATGAACGTCTGTTTGAACACGAAGTGGCGTATTCACCAATATATGCATCTTTGGATAACATGCATCCTTCTAACAAATTATTCACTTGATTTTTGAAAAAAACTAACAATTAGTAAAGTCACTTATATTTTGCTGCATTCCAGGGAACTACTAGTAGCAGGTATATTTGATACTAAATAAGTGAAAAACGAAAGAAGAGAATAACGATTGGAAAACAATTTATGCTGTTCTAGAAAGATTATTTGCACTTCTTTATAGATAAAATGCAGGTGTTTTAGAAATCCATTC